CGGCAGCAAATAACAGCCACCTAATTAGCTATTCACTACTAGATGAAATGAGTAGTAGTGCCTAAATAGGCATTATACTCGACCTTCAGTTCCTCTTTACTAACTTCCAGAATATATCCCTCCAAACCCAAACCCAAACCCCCAACCGACTCCAACCCCACACAACCACACACCACAGTCCCAAATCAAACCCGCCAACGTCGCATCAACCCAACCTACCAAGCTAAATAGACTACCCCAGACTTTCCCCAACCCCCAGACCCAAGGCTGTCAGAAAACAAAAGTCGGGGTAACCTACATAATCTTACATGGAACATGACAGGTAATTGCGGGGGTCGAAAGACTCAAGACTGAAGAAAGCGGGAATGAAAATGAATCTGTTATGTAACAGATTCTTTTCCCCGCAAAAATGAGGAACTAATAAAAGTGGGCGGTGTCAAGTCAGCTGAGAAGTTTATACACCTCATATAACTTTAATTTACTACTTACATACAACAACGTATGTTAGTGAGTTGTCGGACTTATTCGAGATGGATTTGAGCCGTGGTTTGATTATGGGAGTGGATATGGATGTTACGTAGGTACTACTTTTCTTAACCTTTTTTTTTTTTGTTTTTGCTTTTGCGAGGTGTAAATTATGGGGTTTTTGTTTAGTGTCGGGTGGATGAGGGATGGTTTGCGGGGTTTGGCTTTCTTGTTTGGTTCTGCCGAGGGCCGGGTTACTACTTACTACGTATTACTACTAGTTGTGTCGGGAACAGAAAAGAGAGTATACTTTGATTAGTATTGAGTTGGGACTTTTGTATATGTATGTTCATTCCAATATTTGTTGATTCTAGATGCATTTGTAGAGTTATGCGGCGTGATATTGTCCCTGGATAACAGCCTACACAGTAAAAGCTCCATCAATAACTGGCTGCATTCGCTTCCCACTCTGATCATGATGCAGTAAGGGGCATTTTCAAAACAACAGGATAAACCGCATAGACCTAGTCTAGAGCCAGCACAGCCTGATTCTATTCTTCGATCAGTAATTCGAACGTTGACCTCGGTATCAGCGCTAGGCTCCAATCCAGCTAGCTGGCTCTGTCTCCAGTAAGCTCTTCCTGCACGTAACCGGACCGGTCGCACAGCTGGGCAACCCCAGCGCTTCATTTGCTGGCAGCTGCAAGTCGCTTGACCAAACAAAACGTTGTAGATCTTTCGCTCGGACTGGCACCACCGGGCCGGTGTGTGAGTACACAGTACTTCTGGGCGGAGGCACAGATTGTTCGTGCTAGTAGAGATTCTCCGCTTCTTTACAGGTGCTGATATGCATGATCTTAGGTGATACTTGGTACTCTTCTCTCGAGTCTCTTCGGCTGACTATGAAGATGTGCTGCGGTTTTTGCTTTTCCTAGCCTTGCGATGGGCATGTTGATCATGAATCCTTCCCACACTGAGCAGCTCACAACACTGAGAAGGGGATTCCGCAGTATAACACACCCTGTTATGAAACTACCATGGCAGGGCTGCATGTCGGAGCATTCGCAGCAACCAGAGCGATAGCTCAAACGGAGCGGCGGCCCAGGCGTCAGGCTACCACATGCAGCTTCGAAGCACAGTAGCACCACATTTCACATGGCCACATGGCACACACGGCTGTACTTTGCCCGAAGCTATCCCCAATATTGCCATCGGTGTCTGACATGTCATGTGAAGAAGTGAGCCATAGATTGATTCTCTCTATCTGTGTGGAATGGATGGCACCACCCACTCAAGAGGCAAAATCAACGAACAAAAAGAAAAATGAAGCTCCGCAAGAGGCAAATAAACAAACCCCTTGGCGTAAAAGGAAGACCTGACTACGAACCACGGATGGGGCTTAGTTATACGAGCCGGCGATATCCGACCTTGCCACTAATTAGTGGACTAGAATCCTGATTGAAGGACTTTGTAGGAACAGGATAGACTAAGCAGCAACTCGGACATCCTGATTCAACGTTCCTCGAGGGAGGAGGCGTGGGCTTAGCCTTGCAGGACTTGTCGGGCTATCGCGCCGAAAGAAACTCCAACTGGCTTCTATCGGTCTTCCATGGGTTCAGTTCCTCCTCCCCTGCTACCCTAGCAGAGACGCGACGGGGCGAACGAGCGGGTGGTGGTTGTGTAGTGCAAAAGCTTAGGGGCCCGATCGATCAGGAGAACCCGAAGCCAAATGACAGGACGACGTTCCAGAATTCAGCCAGGTTTGGAATAAGCAAGGGGTGGTAGCCAGTCATATTCTCTAACCGGACGTTCCTTCAGGATCCTTGAGGAACAGGAATACAAAGTATCATGATGTGGAAAAAGAAAAGAGAAGCTGGTGAAGGGTGGCAAGAGGTGGCACAACTAGTAACTAGTTACTGTTGTGACCTTTGCTTCGTAGAGGTGTGCGAGATGAACTCTTGGGCACTTACTGCACTCACTGTCAGTGGCTCTGTATATCTCGTTACCTTGTTCTTAATTTGCGCCATCATGACACAGGCATCAGGAGGGATGTACCTGAGCGCGGCTGTATAACATAGTGGCTCTAAATGGATATTGCACTTGTTGATCACGTAGGGAGTAGCGACGGACAACGACGGAGTAGACTACTATTAGGGAGGCTACTGGGGGAGTGGATAATGTCTTGATAGGCAGAAAATGAACTCATCGAACCGACCGCAACGAGGGCTTATCAACATCCCTGCATGCGCGGCTTGATTGGTCCCAACCCCGGCCGCGTCAATTCTGTGGGTGCGGAGATGATTTAGTTTTGGCCTGCGCCTGCCATCCCGTTACGCTTCTTCCTAGTACTTTGGAGGGCTCTTTTAATTCTCGCAGGGCCCCTTTTTGTACTAGAAGCAGGAGAAGAGGGGTTGGAGTATTTCCTACGAGGTCTAATTCACCTTAGTTAAAGCATATGTTGCAGGAGAGTTGTTCGTAGTAGTGTAGATAATTTCCCCTGTAGGTTACGCGTTAGCTTAGATAGTACTAGTAAGGACTAACTTGTCATAATTCGGGCAGAGGCGGGACACGTGGATTATGATAGGCGGCAGCGGACGGATTCCTACTGTGGGATAATACGAGATGCTAAGAGGATAGACTACTACCTTCCATGCAGTGTACATGGATGCCAAGCACAAAATCTGATACTCAAGAGAACAGTAGCGCAATCAGATCGAAATAAAAAGTGAAAAGAAGCAAAGATTGACTACGTATTATTATGTACGTGGTTTTGGCCCCCGATGAGACACTACCAGGGGGGTGGGAAGGTGCCATGATAATAAGATAAGTAAGGAAGCGAAACGGTTAGCTGGGGGAGAAGCAGAGATAAGGTGAGGTACAAAGTGACACTACTATGACCACCGGAGATAAGGGTGGATTTGTTTGGGGCGGGTCCACCCCAGAACGGAACCCTGGGGTCCATGGACCGCAGGAAGCCAAGATAGCCCGATAGATAGCAGATAGCAGTCTTACTGGGTATCACCACAATCCCTGAAACCCAGCTCATACACAGGATTAGTTTGATTATGAACCATGAACCATGAACCATGATGGCAGGAAAAGAATACCCATCTCCTGCTTTGTCGCTTTGGAATCACACGATTAACCTACTGGGTAGTAGACAGTGGTATTGGTTCGGAAATAAACGAGCTCAGTGGCGTGGAAACCTTAAATCATGAGAATGCTACCTTCTTCCGTCACTGATGATGAGGTGATTTCAATTCCATTATTATTTCCCCGGGTCAGGCTGAATTACCTCGTCAGTGTCTGCTGTATGACTGCATTGTGCGCCATCAGTCAATTTGGAGTAGATGATGAAAGCACTGCTTCATCATTTTTCATCACTTTTTGCCCTTGTACAACTGAATGATAAAATTCTCCTGGACGGTCTAGCAATAATTATTTTCTCTTGACAAAATCCAAGTGGATCCAGAAGGGGTTACAACGTGCCCATCGTAAGACGCAGTGCCGGGAGCCTAAAGCAGAGAGGAGAGGAGAGGAGAGGGTGGCTTGGTCGTGCTTATCAGTGGCAGTAGTGAATCCCCCGATAACCAGTTATCTTGTGAAGGCGTTTAGTTGGTGTAGGGTGTAATAATCATCCCTAAAGCAAAGAGTAACAGTTAATAATACCTTGCAGAACCACCAATCAGATCCAGTGAGAATCTTATTTTGCTCTTAATCAATTAATGAGGTGGTACTCGAGGGATCCCCCGGGGCCATGGTCAACTTGGACGCTTTCACCGATTGGTTCCCCCTCTATTTGTCGCGCAACCACCAGTTTAGCCTTTTTCCCCATAGCAGTAGAAAGTAAAGTACTCCAAAACTAGCCAGAGCGCATCCGGCTACTCATGGGCCCAGCTCGAGTCGCAGCAGACCTACATTTGCCTCCACTATCCTGCGGCCTTCCTGCCCATTTAGCTCGGCCACATGGATTTGTGGCCGATATCAGGCCCGCAACTGGAGTCTGCTGAGCTTGTTCAGTGGTTCTTCCCACCTCTCGTGGATCGGGGCCGTAATTACTCCCATGGGTGGATTGGAACTGTCGGGGATTACTGCTGTGACCTATATCGCCCGGTTCTTATTTAAATAATAAAAAAAACCCCTGCATCCTGACCAGCAATAATTTAATGTCTCAGGTAATTTTCCATCTCCCGGATTCCGCTTCTCTACGGAAAAGAAATAAGTAACTCCTGCCGCCCGGTTCCCTCAAGAGGTGCTCATAGTATTTCCTTAAAGCCCTCCCCTCCTTATCATTACTATCTTGGGATTTGAGACACCCTTCACTTGCACGGGCTGCAAACAACACACTCACCATCGCTGGAGTTCCCCTCCTCTTCCCTACCTCACTCTCCTGCCTCACGCTCTCACCTTTTCCTCACCCCGCCTGTTAGATTTTTCTGAGGTTTCTGAACTGGCTTTGGTGAACACCCTGTTCCTTCTTCGTTCCGTCGTGAATAGTTGCATTTCTTCGCATTCTGCATCACACCTCTTCAGCCATGGAGAAGGATTTCATTGAACCCAAGTCGGAACCCTCGTTCGGCGACGCTCCTCCTCTCTACGGCGAATCCGAAGCAACCAAAGGCAGCTTTGGCCAGCGGATTATCGATAGTTTCAAGAGAGATCCTAATGCTCGTGCCTCGTCGCACCATGAACCTGGTCACGATGGGAAGACCTTCGACATCGAAAATGCTGCTCAGAACACTGCTAGTTCTCCACTGGCACGCAAGCTCAAAGGTCGCCACCTTCAGATGATCGCGATTGGTGGTTCAATTGGTATGCATGGTCCCTTGATGCCGACGCTCACGCCATCCGGGCTTCGCCCTTGCTGACTGCATCGCGCTTTAGGTACTGGTCTTTTCGTCGGATCTGGAAGTGTCCTGGCGGCCGGTGGCCCAGCCTCGGTCCTGATCGCATATGCTCTGATCGGCTGCATGCTTTACTGTACTGTGCACGCGCTTGGTGAAATGGCCGTTCTTTTCCCTGTTGCTGGTTCGTTCTCGCATTATTCCACCCGGTTCATCGATCCCGCTTGGGGCTTCGCCATGGGTTGGAATTATCTGCTGCAGTGGCTCGTGACCCTCCCCACCGAAATTGTCGCCGCTTCGTTAACTGTCGACTACTGGGAATCGGGCATCTCCAATGCTGCCTGGGTCGCTATTTTTTGGACTGTCATTGTGTGCATCAATATGTTCGGTGTTAAGGGTTATGGTGAAGCCGAGTTCGTGTTTTCCATAATCAAGGTCACCGCCGTAGTTGGCTTCATGTGAGTCTATTGGAACTGCCCCTCCAACATTGATATGCGATGAGGAGTTTACTGACTTCATACAGCATCCTCGGTATCATCCTGACTTGTGGCGGCGGGCCCCATGGTGGATACATCGGTGGAAGGTATTGGCACGACCCAGGCGCCTTTCACAATGGCTTCAAGGGTCTTTGTAGTGTTTTTGTGAATGCTGCATTTGCGTTCGCTGGTACTGAGCTGGTTGGCCTGGCCGCCGCGGAGACCGCTAATCCTAGGAAATCGCTCCCCACCGCCGTCAAGCAGGTGTTCTGGCGTATCACCCTCTTCTACATTGTGTCTCTTACCTTGGTCGGCCTCCTTGTCCCCTACACCGATTCCCGTCTCCTCGATGGTTCATCTAGCGCCGATGCCAAAGCGTCTCCGTTCGTCATCTCCATTGTGAACGCGGGAATTTCTGGATTGCCTTCGGTGATGAACGTTGTCATCATGATTGCTGTGCTCTCAGTCGGCAATGCAGCTGTCTACGGCTCTTCGAGAACTCTGGCGGCTCTGGCTGAGCAACAGCAGGCCCCAAAAATTTTCGCCTACATCGATCGCAAGGGCCGGCCTCTTCCGGCTCTCATTGTTGCCTCGGCGTTTGGTTTGCTTGGATTCCTGGCCGCTTCCGATAAGGAGGGTGAAGCCTTCACATGGATGATGGCCATCTCAGGTCTCTCCTCCATCTTCACCTGGGGGTCAATCTGCCTGTGTCACATTCGCTTCCGTCGCGCTTGGAAACTGCAAGGGCACAGCCTCGACGAGCTGGCCTTCACGTCCCAGCCTGGTGTGATTGGTTCCTGGATCGGACTCATCTTCAACTGCCTCGTTCTGATTGCTCAGTTTTGGGTTGGCTTTGCGCCCAGCGGATATAGTGAAATGTCGGCTTCGGCATTAGTTTCCAACTTCTTCTCCGACTACCTGGCTGCGCCGGTCGTGCTGGCCTTCTACATCCCCTACAAGCTTTGGTTCAAGACCCCCTTCATCCGGGCCAAGGACATGGATCTCCATACCGGGCGTCGCGATCTCGATATCCAAGCGCTCATCGAAGAAGAAAAGGCAGAACAGGCGGCCTGGCCTGCGTGGAAGAAGGTGTGGAAATTCTTCTGCTAAAGCTGGGTTGGGTCACATTTCAACGGTGTTAAGGCTTGTTTCATGCTTGGGCTGCGTTTTCTTCCATCCATATCCCCTTTTTGCGCTTTAAATAATGTATGATAATGATCATGCCTCCCTCTTCCGTTTATGTTCCTTTAGGTAGCATATTGATCAGCGCTGAGCCGATGCATCGGGATGGCGAACGAATGTTCTTCACTAAATGAGAAAGTTCACTCGACGACGAAGACAGTCGACGCTGCTTAGTAGCGAAGGAAAGTATGTTGACAATGAACAAATTGAGATCAACTGTATGGACTTCCGTGTTTAGAAGTAAATGATTCAGACCCTAAGAATAGAAGCATGTCAACTGCGTGGTGCCAAAAAAGCAACATGACAGTAGCTGTTCGGCAATGCCGTGTTTTGGATCTGCTGCTGGCCAGTCTCCGGGCTTGGCGTGTTTGCATCTGGAGAACAACCACAACGAGTCAGCAGCAACCAACTCCAGCCACGTAAATAATACCTTACTTGAAGTAATGACAGCGTCTCTACGCTGTCTGTACATACTAGTCAGTCATACAGGGGGAAGATCAGTGGGTGAAGATGTGCCAGATTACTAACGCCTGTCGACCACCAGTTCCCCTTCTTTGTGTCTAGTGGAAGCAATCGTCTTCAGAGCCTTCCTTCTTAGGAAATGATCTGAGAGTTCGGCTCTTTTCCTCTTCCCATTATTTTGGGTTACCGGTGCTGCGCGATGGGTCTTCCCAAAAATTCCCACCAGCCCTAAAGACTAGGAAATATCAGGCGTGGTTGGGGGAATCAATCTAAGACAAGTGCTGTAATCTCTGTAATATCGGTAATATTTCACGGAGCCCCCAAAAATAGCCACCCGGCAACCACACGTGATGGCTGAGGCGCCAACGGTCTAGTTTCAGGTCGGTAAGGCGTAAATTACGCATGACGGAGAAGCCCAAGAAGAGCCGGGCGAGAAAGTGGAAAGTTGCTTGCTTTTCCTTTCCAAAAGATCTCGGCCAACCTGAACCTAAGATCCAGTCTCCCCTGTTGTCATCCGTCTGAGTGTCTCATACTGCAACTAAACTAACTTCTTCCTCCACCTCCCACCCCCGTTGCAATTTGACCACCTTTTTCTTTTTTAAAAACATTCCTTCTACTTCTCTCTCTCACTTCAGCTTTATTGTTGCTTTTTACTCTTCTGCCTCCCTTGTTTCACGCTTTCCATCCAATTCACCCCCCTCCTCTCCTCACCACCTAACTGGTCTCCTGTAGCCGCCCTCGCATACCCGTCACCGGGCCTATGTCTCCTCGCAGCCGTTGTGTGCCACTATAGCATCCGTCAGAGGTGGATATTTATCCGGCGCTTGCGAACAGAGCTGGTTTCTCTCCGTTTCTTCCAGGCACTTTCACCGGCAATTACCTTCAAACAAGCGTTTTCTGTGGTCCATCGGAAAGTTTACACTAGTCGCCTAGAGTCGGTGACGAACGCCGGCCGTTTCTCCTCAGGTTCAATTTCGCTCTCAGCTTGGTCGCGCATCGCTCCAAGCCGATACCAAGCAATCTTCCGTTGACGTCAGCTTGTTTGGTTCCTTCTTCAATATGCCTGGTTTCGCGGATTCGTTCTGGACCCCCGACTACGCCACCGGTCTGGGGGTGCTTTACGGGAAACTCCAACAGGGCGCCGTCGAGAACAAGCAGATCATCACCATTGCTTCTATGCGCGCAGATGCGGAGGAACAGTACGGTCTGAAATTGGGGGATATTGCGCCGACCGTGGATCGGGTCACGCCAACGGGGTTCGGAAAAGATGACGGGGCAAGCGTGAGAAAGGTTGGTGCCTTTTTACTCATACGGAAAGTTCTGATCTAGGTGATACTGATATTAGGTCTTTTCGTCTAGGCTTACGAGGGGGTTCGCACTGAGATGGTCGAGGCATCTAAGAACCACCAGAAGATCGCGTCGAACATCCGGGAGCTAGTCGTTAGCCCCTTCAGGCGTTGGTGCGATCAGCACGAGGCTCGAATTCAAAATTCCCACGATGATCTCCAGGCTCGAATCAAGGAACATTCGAAACAGGTGGATCTGGTCAAGAAACTCCGAAGCCATTATTTCAACAAGTGCCGTGTGGTTGAAGACCTCGAGGAAGAGAACAAACTCGCTTTCCAGGCCCCCGAAACAAGTCCGAAAATTAAGCCCACCCCTAAGATTGTCCTGCCAGAAGAACAGGAGGAGGAGGAGCCGGTGGAGATTGGCGATCGGATCTACCCTCCGGAGGATTTGAAGAGGCTTCTGACACATATGCTGGAAAACATCAAGATTGGCGAGGTCAAGGTGCCGATCATCGGCACATATCAGAACACGTCGACCGGTGCAGATATTGTGGAATACACTCAGAAGCACCTGAATGGAACTAGCATCACCTATTCGGAGAGAATCGGGCAGGATCTCGTGGACAATGGGTTCCTCCGTCTGGTCGGAAACATGGGCAGCACCTTCGCGAACAGCTCTAAGATGCGCTACCAGTGGCGCCCTAAGGTGTTCCAGATCACCGGTGTCCCAGAGAAGAAGAAGCCTCTTATGCGCGTAACCTCTGTGGCAACGAGCGAGGACGGCAGCGAGTCTCCGCTGTCTTCTGTCTCTGAGATGCTGGCCGGCTGGAACCCTCTCAACAACCCGTACCCCAACGAGACACCAGCGGAAAAGTTGCGCAGGGAAGCTCGCGAGGCCGATGAACGGTACAAGGCTGCGGTGCGCAAACTGGACATGATCAGATGCAAGCTCGAGGAAGAGGTCGTTGAAAACTTGCGCTTCATGGAGCAGTGTGAGCTTGATCGCCTCAAGGCAATCAAGGCCGTGATCCTGGATTTCTCGGGCGCCATCAGCAATGTCATTCCCAACCTGCAAAGCACGGTCGACCACATGATGCTCTACCAAGAGACCATCCAGCCGCTAGGCGATCTCCGTTACCTTCTGGAGAACTACCGGACGGGTGGTTTCGTACCTCGTGTGCAGGCGTATGAGAACTACTACGGATCTGTGGAAGGTATGCGCTCTGCCGACTGGACATTATGAAGATTCAGTGTTTGCTAAAACTCTCCAGATCAAAATTTTGGTGTTGACCTCGAAGCGAGAGCCAGAGCCGACCGCAAGCGCGTCCCCATTGTGGTCACCACTCTACTGACCTACCTGGATAACCGTAAGTTGTCTTTCACCCGGTTATTTGAAACGCTTTGAACCTAACTTGGAAAGGCTACCCTGACCTTGAGGGTGACGAGGCACGACGTGCGATCTGGCTGTACGATGTGCCTTTGGCAGCGACACACCACCTCCGTAGCGCATTGAACAACAGCAAAGCGGATTATAACGAGATCCTGGAGAAATATGAAATCCCCATCATCGCGAGTGTTTTGAAATTGTACCTCCTTGAGCTACCAGGTTCGTATTTATTCACACCTTTACTTATAATCCAGGTCTAACAGATGCCGTAGACTCTTTGGTTTCCTCCCAAGTTTATGAGATTGTGAAGACAATTTATTCGACGACTGCCCATGAGACGACGGAAGAGGGCCGCATCAAGGTCCTTCAAAGCACTCTCGGACAACTCCGTCTGAACAACATTGCTACGCTTGACGCCATTATGACCCATTTCACGCGTTTGATTGATCTTACATCTGCCGATGAGAATTATGTCTCTGCACTTGCCCAGGCCCTGTCGCCTTGCATTCTCCGTCCTCGCACGGAAAGCAGCCTTACGATGAACGAACGGCACAGCTACCGTCTCATCCGTGATCTATTTGCTCACAAGGACGCCATCTTTGGTGAGTTGAAACGCCAGTCAAGTGCTCTGGGGATCAGTGGATCCACCAACCGTCCTCGTGCCATCAGCACAGATGAGAGCAACCGCCGGGCCGCAATGGAGGCCCGGAACCGTGCTATTCTCGACCGCAGCCGTGCCAACAGCCCGGCTCCTCCCCAGAAGCATCGCCGTGACCGTTCCAGCGGCGCTTCAGAGACCAGACGTTTCCCCATCAACGTGACCAGCCCCACCGAAAGACGGACTGTCGCTCGCAGCAGCCTGGATGTTCCCATCAAAAGCGAATCTCCCACCGCTGCGGAACAGATGACAAGCGTGAACATCAACGGTCCTGAGTCAGTCACCAACGGCGCCTTGAGCGAATCTCCTGTATCCGCTGCGGCCAGTGCAAGCCCCTCATCGGGTAGTGCCAGCCCTCCCCCGGCCCCTGAATCGGACGCTTCTGTGACCCCAACCACGACTCCCACCCAAGATACCGAGAAGCGCTCATCAACGATCTCCCGGTCTAGCGTTTCCTACACTCGCAAGCCTGGCCTCGGAAACCGTTCCAGCTTCCCGACAGTCGCAAGCACGGAGGGCACAGACAGCAAGCGCAGCAGTCTAGCCGAGACCGAGCCGAAAGGCGTCACATTGGAAGACAAGCCAATGGACGATGACTAGATGTGTCTATGACTTATAGAAGCCTTTTACCCGTCTCCCTCCAAGATAGGAGAAGACAGAATCAGGCTCATAAAAGAATGTTTGTTACCTTATTCATATCCTCTCTTTTTTCCAAGGACACGAACGATGACGCTGCTACCACAAATTTCCCGGGGAATACACAACAAGACAAGGAGCCTACCAATACCAAGGGTACCGACTAGCATCCGTAAAAGATCGAGCCTTGATTCTTGGACCAGCCATTTCACACAACACAACAGACACCATCTCAACCTAAAGCAGGCCTTATTGCTTGAGAATGGCGTCTTGTATGCGTGTGCGTGTGTGTGCTTTGTGTTTTCATTAGCGGCGGTCCTATCGAACTGTTTCACCTTTTGTCATCAGCTATTCATCTACCTACCTACCTATCTATCTATTCATATCTATATGCCTCTCCTTCAATGTTCTTCACATACCCAACATCTTTGTTGTCCCTCCTGTTACCTTTTGTGTTATCATTATGTATGTATGCATAGCTGTTTATTCTGTACTTTTTCTTTTTTTTAACCTCTATCGATTCAAGTTGACTTGGTCTGTTTTTTGCTCCCTATAAGCGACATTATTCATATTTGCTGTGGATCTTTAAAGTCCAGTTCAGTGTATAGCATCATCATACCATATCATATCACCTCACATGCAGAGTCAATGTGTTTTGATTTGAGCATCATGTAGAAAATTCACGTTCTGAAATCTACTGCTTCTGTTTTATCTTCATGTGTAACGGTAGTAAACTGTTTGTTGAAAGCTGTCATTATCATTTACTAGTTGTATGTATGTAACGCCGTATGCCAATGCGGGGATCATCGCTAAGTGGATATGTGCATATGCATCTCTTTATCCAACGCCGAGAGAATGGACCAACTGCCTGCAGAAGACATTCAAAATTGCAAGCTCGCTGGGGTTTTGTACAGTAAAGGGAATAGATAGGACGTGTTTACAGCCCTTGACCAGTGAGCAGTCTCCGGAGGATACCCTCTCCCGCTCCGGTAAGTTGTGTCTCGATCTCTTTCTGAGAGACGAAACAAACCAGGCTCTGCTCATCCAAGGCTTTGCTGGGTGTCATTGGCCCGTGTAGCTTGGAAGGACTGCGTCGCAGATCGGATCCGCCGGCGACTGTACCACCTCGACCACGGCCCTGGTATTCACCTACAAGGCCCATCGTCTCCAGGTTGCTGAGCACGTCCTTGAATTCGGTAGATGTCAGAGGGTGTAGGATATTGTCTTGCCGACACAAAGTACAATATGTGTCGTACACTTGCTTGATCGTCGGCGGCAAATGCTTGGTCTTGGACGGTGTGCCCGGGAATTCACCTTGCCGCCGCTTGCGGTCCAGGGCAATCAAAGCACATATGGCTGCCTTCTGCTGAAGGTTGAGCCCCTGTAGTCGCTGGACAGTCCCCTGTCCGAATGCCGCCGAAGTGATACGCGCAACATGCGCAATGCTGGCTCGAGGCGCTGTGATAGCAGTGTAAGATAAAGTAGGAGTCTGTTTGGGTGAAGATGACTTTGAGGATGAGGAAAGATTGTTGTTCTCGACAAGGATTGTTTTGGTAGGACTCTCGGGGTTGGCATTCTGTGCCTCGAGCTTTTTGAGTGCTTCCTGCTCGATAAGATCGATGGCACGCTTGACCAGTTCGAATGCCTTCCGTAGATCGCCAGTCTGCGATGCCACCTTCTTCGAGCACAGTTGAATAGCTGCTGGTTGGACAAAGGGAACGAAATTGGGCTCCACCGTTTGACCTTCAGGAAGTAAAGAGCGAAGACGATTGGTGATTACGCTGGCAATCTGGCCAGCATTGTAAGGCAAGAAGGGAAGCAAGCGAGGCTTCAAGTTCTTGGCCTTCAATTGTGGGAGTGATCTATCAGTCAAGTCTAGCGCATTGGCAATGCCGATGAGCAAGAGTCTAGACTTTTCCTGCAACGACCACTCAAACAAGGACTGGAGGATACCGGAATCCGCGGTGAGGAGATGATCGATCTCGTCCAGAGTAACCAAGAACATATCATCTTCCTCTTCGGATGTAAACATCAGTCGTAGTCGATCTGCTTCGCTCTTCTTGAAGACGTCATGGTCGTTGCAGAGATCGCCGATAAGCCTGCTGTAGACGTCACGAGCACCCCGCATACTTGCGCAATTGAGGTGTGCGATTTTGAGAGACTTCAAGTCCATGTCGTGACACACTTCCTGAACCAAGGCACTCTTTCCAGTACCCGGGGGACCACTGACATACAAGCAACCACCTTTGCGCGAATCAACACCATCTTGTATGAACGAGGTCAATTTCTCCCGTTCGGTATCCCGACCCACTATCCGAGTTGAAGTTGCACCCCGCGCAAACATCTGCCTTGCTTCGGAATATATAGTCTGCGTGGTGGTTGGCGTCGATATATGTCGAGGTGTGCGTGGAGTCATAGATTTCCCGCCAATCAGGACTCGATGTTTCGGTGTTGTCGGAGGTGAATCAAGTGCATCGCGAAATCTGGACTTCGAAGGTGTCTTGAACTCAACTGGTGTCGAGTTTTCGTCTAGATGGATTAGTTCTATTTGAACAGGGAAATCAAGGGAGAAATCCTACCATTGACCGGATCTGTAGCATGGCTGCGCTTAACAGGTGATATGGCCGCCTTGCCAACCTGCACAGTACGCTTTGTCTGTCCACTATCGACCGAATCATTCTTTGATTCTTCCCGAGGCTCTTCTTGAATAGCGGCGCCATTGCCGTTTCTCGTCCGTGACCGAAGTTGGCGCGGTTGGGGTGCAGGGGGCTCGCTTTCTTGACGGACGTGAGGTTGTTGTGTCCGGCGCCTGCTTGCTCGACGCACGGGTAATGATGGTACTAATACAAAGGAACGTCAGTTAAAATGATCTAAAAGAAATTACGGAGGAACTGAGGGATATGGAAGTCGTACCTTCCGGTTCGATAGCACCTCGCTGGCGCTTACCGAGGACCGAAGCAGCCATGATATGATAGATTCAATGGTAATTGGCAAGAGCAACCGAGGTAAATAAGATGAGAAGGAGATAGATGATCGATGATGAAAGGGAAGGACCGGGTGTTAGAGAAAATACTGTAGTAGTAGTAGAGTAGTATTTGGAGTGGAGGTACTGCTATCCATCACGATTTTCCCAAGGAGGCATAATTAACAAGACGCGTCGAGTTAAGGTGCGCGTGTTACTACGCGTAGCTTGCTCTTCTCACGTGACTAGATGCGAGGCTGACGCGCTTCGGCTGCCAGTCACGTTTCTTCCCGCGGGGTTCTACTCAGCTGCCAGGTCCTGCCTTACTTCTCAGGCGTGGAAGCCACAGGGTCGGACCGCGTGATTATCCGTCTGCTCATCGGATGCTGTGAAGTGCGTCACCAATTCTACCTGACGGATAGTACCTAAACTATTAACGCCGCGCATCCTGGTTGTTTGTGCTGCATTCCCTTGTACAATCTCCTGGTTCACTAGTGCGGAGTCTCCTCAAGTATCTCCCCTCTATTGTCTTTATCTTTATATGAATTTATCTTGAAGTTCTTTCAACTTCATTCCTCCATCTTCGTTGATCACCGCCTAGCACTGACATTACTGTTTGCAGCTGTTTGCATCACATTGCCTGCCTTCGACCTTTCTGTTGGGATTCCTGCTGCATACACCCTCCTCCCATCACGGCGATCTCTTGATTCCCTTCATCCTTTCTTATTTGCCTCTTTCTTAGATTAATACCAGTGCCGTGCGCCCGCCATGGAAAGCGACGTGGTAGCGCAGTTCACTGAAATCACCGGCTCAAAGCCAGAGCTGGCTACCCAATATCTGCAGCTGACTGATTTCAACATCGAACAGGCTGTACAGCTTTTCTTCGAGAATGGTGGTGCGCCACTGACTGATGATCCCTTACCGTCTGCCTCCACGCCGCAGCAAGCTTCTCATGCTGGCGGCTATGGAAACGAGTCCGGGGTGGTCAATATCGACTCCGATGACGACGTCACAATAGATGAGTCTCGCTCTGCGCCTCGGAACCACGGCGCTATGTTTGAAGATGATGCCGCCATGGCCCGTCGCCTCCAAGAAGAGATGTACGGCGGAGGAGATGCCGAAGAGAACGTGCGTGCGCCTATGGCCCGTACAACAGAAACCTTGGTGGGGCCTGAAGCGGACTTCGACGATGGCGATATGCATGCCAGCATATTGGGTCAACTGCGCGCGCGCCAACAGCGAAACAGTTAGCACTTCACCCTGCCTTCTATCACTATTTTTTCCGAATGCACGGCTAACTTTGCTTTTCCTTAGACCGGCCCGGCATCTTCAACCAGCGAGACACATCGATATGGTCTGGAGAGGACGACACCTCGGAACGTGAACGGTTGGCTGCAGCGACTGGAGGAGCTTCCGAGGCCTCGAATAAGTCTAATATGTTAGCTGAGATGTACCGCCCGCCTTTCGAGATCATGTCCAGGCTTCCGTGGGATGTCGCTCGTCAGGAAGGTCGCGACAATGAGAAGTGGTTGATGGTCAATATCCAGGACCCTTCAGTCTTTGATTGTCAGGTTCTGAACAGAGACCTCTGGAAGGATGCGGGCGTGAGAGACACCGTTAAGGAGCATTTTATCTTCATGCAATATTCCAAGGACGACCCTCGCGCGGGACCGTATCTGCAGTACTACTTTCAGGCCAGTGACGTCTCAGATAATTACCCCCACATCGCGATTGTCGACCCCCGGACTGGAGAACAGATGAAGGTCTGGTCGGGGCCTCCCGTGATCAAGGCGTCGGACTTTTTGATGCAAGTCCACGAGTTCCTCGACAGATACAGTCTGAAGCACAACGTGAGAAATCCCGTGGCGAAGAGGAAGCCGGAGAAGAAGGAGAAGAGTATCGATGCAATGACTGAAGAAGAGATGATGGAGATGGCAATGAGAAACAGCCTAGGGGATGAGGCGTCTCAAGGTCCGAAGGTGGAGGATCCTGACGATCTCACACGCAGCACTGATGATGTGAAGGGCAAGGGACGGGCTGAAGACGTTGGGATGGAAGAGGCCGAACAACCTGAACAGAGCGTCTTCTTGTCCATCCCGGACAATCGACCCCACACAGAGCCCCCCGCCGATCCTGCCACAACCACGCGCATCCAGTTCCGACACCCATCGGGGCGAGTCATTCGACGTTTTTCTTTGACGGATCCTGTCCAGCGGATCTACGAATGGCTCAAGGCTGATCCGCCCTTGGAGGATAAAGCCGGTGTGGAGTTTGAGCTGAATGCCATGGGCCGCAATCTGATTGACTCGCTGGATCAGACCGTCGCCGATGCTGGACTGAAGAATGGTACGGTCATGATAGGGTATGTCGAGGAATAGACTGCATTGGGACATGGCACTTGAGGAGAGACTCGGAAGGTCCTGGACGGGGGCCTAAGGAGCTGTCAGGACTGGTGCCTGTTGCTCTTCGGGCCAGATTGCTGCTCTGGGGATGGATGCCTTTGTTTAACACGGATGAGCATCTCTCTGGAAGCCAAGCACCGACATCAGGACTACTGAGTGGTTCTTTCCAATTCTGTAGATCGGGTCATGCTTTGACTAGTAATTGTCCTCTATATTTGCGATTCTGCATAAAGAGGAGATGGATCTAATGGCTTCATGAGAAAGGAATCAGAGAACAAACACACATATTACCCTTGATATCCCTTTTTACATCAGGGCAGTTCCGTACTTAGTGCAGCTTCCACAATAAGCAATACCAGACTAGGCAACTCATTTCTTCACCGCCTGCCTCAAATAGGTGTTAAGAGATGGTGGGGGTTTTATCGAAACCAAACCAACTCACCGCCCGGCCAGAAACAACCCCGCGTTGCTCCCCGATCAAGCAATCAATCAGTGGCCGGTATTCGGGTGGGTATTTTTGGTAATCGCCGGTTCCTGTTCCTGGTTTCGTGGTTCCAACTTGTCTCCAATTGTCATTGTTATTGTTGTTGTTGTTGTTCTTGTTGTTCTGCTTCTGCTTCTTCTTCTTCTACTTCTTGCTGTTGACATGCAAGGGAATTAATTCTCTCCCTCTCATTCCTTCCATCTATTCTCATCCGCCTAGCTTATATCGCCTACCCGTTTTTCAGCCCTTGCGCCCTGTTTCTTTCCCTTTCAAATCACGCAAGGATCGGTGGCTGTACCCATTCTTCCTCCTCTTTTCCCCCCCTCCGCCTCCCTCGGAGACACACAGACACTCCAGTCAGCTAGCTATCTGTCGGTTGTCATCCCCAAAACAATCATAGTTGAGCGTCAGCTTCTGCTCCCGATGCATTCGCCCGAAATTCTATTTAGCATCTCTCCTTGAACCGCAATCATTGATTGATTGACCGATCTATCTATTTCGGAAATTCAATGTCTCCTTTCTTTACTTGTTTCCTATCTAAGCCCTACCTCCACCTCCTAGCCTAGCTTAGGCGATAGGTATGTCGCCCTTGATCCTCCACAACCGCCCGCGCGAAGCTGCCTCCCCATCATCTGATCTCTTATATGTTCTCGGTCTTCCGCGCATGTGGTGCTCGCATTCCACAGACAATCATCTCTTCTCATCTATGGCAGACGCTGATTTCATTTGCCAGTGTTGCAGAATCGGGCGAGACAATTGATTTCTACTCCGCCGGCGGTTAGTTACAGCCAAGATGGAAGGCCTAGTGGATCCAGAGACGATCTACATGAAGCAGAGCTGCATCGGTACGTACTCGGACATGATGTGATTCATCTTGCCGCGCAATCAGCCTCTCCTAACTCAGTCATACTGTTGCAGGCGGCGGGAGCTTCGGACGAGTCTATAAAGGGTACGTATGCTCAAGCACCTCTCTCATCTTGCTCTGGTTGCGCACTATTCCGAGATCTTGGCGGCTTACACTGCTATTACTCGCAGCGTTGATAAGCGTACCGGTGCTTCTGTTGCTATCAAGATCATCGACGTCGAGAATGCCGAAGATGAGGTGGAAGATATTATCCAAGAAATTGCCATCTTGTCGGAACTCAATTCTCCTTATGTCACTCGATACCACGGTTCTTTCTTGAAGGGATCCAGTTTATGGATCATCATGGAGTTCTGTGCCGGTGGCAGTTGCTCCGATCTTATGCGCCCGGGAACAATCCCAGAGGAGTATATCATGATCATCATAAGAGAGCTACTCCGAGGGCTGGACTATCTGCATAGCGACAAGAAGCTGCACCGTGATGTCAAAGGTACCACCTAATCCCGCTTGCCATACCACCGTTATATTGGAGACTAACATCAGCGCCAGCTGCAAACATCCTGCTTACCTCGAACGGCCAAGTGAAATTGGCTGATTTCGGAGTTTCTAGCCAACTGTCAGCCACAATGACTAAGAAGAATACTTTCGTGGGTACCCCATTCTGGATGGCCCCGGAGGTGATTAAGCAATCTGGATACGACTACAAGGCCGATATCTGGTCTCTTGGAATCACTGCGATTGAATTGGCCAACGGAGAGCCTCCTTACTCGGACATCCATCCCATGAAGGTGTTATTTTTGATTCCCAAGAACCCCCCGCCCGTTCTGCAAGGCGATTACAGTAAAGCGTTCAAAAACTTTGTGGAACTTTGTTTGAGACGAGATCCCAGGGAACGGCCGTCCGCCAGAGAGCTGCTCGAGCACCCGTTCATCAAGAGGGCAAAGAAGACAACCTATCTGACCGAGCTGATTGAACGCTACGAGCGCTGGAACGCCATTCACGGCAATAGGGGGGCTGATGATGAAGACATTCAGGAACCTCCACCTAAGACGTCTCCGCCTGAGGAAGAGGATGATTTGTGGGACTTTGGCACCGTGCGGCCGGCCGGGAGAGCACCCCCTCTCAAGCCGATGAAAGAAGCGGACATGAATGCGAGAAGCCATGAAGCCAATGAGTGGAACATGAAAGACGAGCCCCGTCGAGACATTTTACGGCCAAAGAGTAATATGCCTTCTACACCCCTGCAGACGAAAAACATGCCTAGTGCTATGCCCAAGCCATTGTCACCCACCAAGGTTCCCTTGCCGCCTTCACCCATCAAACAAGCATCAGATTTCACACCCCAGACACCTTCACACCTACAACAGCCAGTCTCACGTCAACCCAAGGGGAGTCCAGGTAGTGACTACGATAGAGCTCTACAACAAGCTCTGGCTGAAGATCTAAGCTTCCTTCAGCTAGATCGCTCCCCAGGCCCTTCGACAGCCTTCTCGCAAGCCCGGGGTGCTCCCCCAGGTTTACAAGGATACCAAAAGGCCCCGCAGTCACACCTGCCGGAAGTTCCATCCTATCAACGCCTACCAGATCCACCGGCCTCGAATGCTGTGAACCAGAACGTTAGACCTGCCAAAGAAGCATATCCGCAACGTCCAACATACGCACAACCACAAGCACGGCTTCCCCCAGCACCAAGGCATATGTCACCGCCATCCCAACCATCACGGCCGCAGCAAGCGTTGCCACATGGTCCTCGGCCTACATCCATGAGGCCTGATCCTCTCCAGCTCAATACCACAACCGATGGGGCCCTTGATGAACGAGTACGGGAGCGGGAGGCGATTCAGGGCCAGGCCCAGATGCCCCCTTCCAACGAGATCACAGCTCTAAATAGTGTGATACTGCCTGCTCTCAAAGCAGCCATTCGTCGCCGGACACGGCGTCTGGAGCTCATTTCACCCAACACAACGAGGGATGCTAGCGGCAATATCAGCGAATATCAAACACGTGAGGAGTATGTCCATGGAATGATGGAAAACCTGGTGGGCGATATCTACGGCATGTTCACAAAGCTTGAACGCTGGGACAACGAGGCACCTGTGGGAATGGGCGCTCAAGTGACCTCATTCTTAGAAGGATTTCTAGAAGAGATCCTTGTCCGGGTTGAGCCTTCTGACTCGGATTCGAACCCAGGCAGAGCCTAAGTGTTACTCTGGTTTAAACTCGAGCATAGCACGACTAACTAACCAGGCTTGCCTCTTGAGACTCTGACTAGAATGACAGCCCTCCTTACTGCGAGCACAGCCCACCTGCAGAGGGTCGAAGCTGGAGCAGACTGGCAAAAACCAATTTATTAGTCACTACGGACTTATTGGGGTCCTATTGTCACAATCATGGCAGCTATGCAACTCAATTTGGTTTTTGTGTGTCTTGGATCGACTCACATACCATCTTCATCTTCTTTCTCGCTGAATTTCCTGCTCTTGCAACACATTTCGGATTCAACAGAACAAGAATCGGTGGCGTTCATCCTCAATTATGCACATTCTCTGCTATTGGTGCTCTATCCACGATTGGGTACGCATCACATGGATTCTTCGACTTGGATTCCCTCCTTCATACCTTTCTCATCTCCACATTGCTTGCTATCCTGGAATTTTCTGGGCTGGAACCATCTTTGACTTAGTGAACAGGAGCTTGCCTACTGGAAACTGGCCTCCTCTGGTTACATTACGTCTCTGGGAACATGACACTACTTTCAAGACTCATCTCTTCTCTCCTTCATGATTTCCTTGTCGTCTCTTTTTCCTTTCCTTTACTTTTTTTTTTTTTTTTCTTTGTCTGCACTTGTAATGGTATCAGAACTATGCGGGGAGTTTTGTAAATTGTTCCTTGTTTGTCTATCAGTTGTTCTCGGAGCACTCGAGTGCCTAAGTAGTGTGTGTGTAATAACTCGAAGAATGAAAACTACAGACATCCAGGTGATGCATTCATTGTCAAGATCGCATCACATCGTGAAACTCATCATTCATTATTAATGACGTAAATTAACACGGGGTTATTGGATACTATACATCAAGCCCGCCAGTATCATAGTCTGACACGACAGCAATAGTTTCAGACCACGCATTAGTATCGCGTGGCATCTCAACGCCAGTTCTAGCTGCTGAGGCAGCTGACCTGGCCAACAGGAGCCACACAAACTCCGTCGTTTTGCAGTATAGCTTGTGAAATCAATCAACTAGTAACCCTTTGACTGACATAGACAGGCAAGAGACCGGTCTTCATGAAAATTCATCCACTCGGACGAAAGAGCCAGTCACTTTCTGGAGTGGGGATCAGATAATTCGTGATATTAAATTCATTGGCGTTAGAATGCGAGCCATCGACGACGTGATTGGTATTACTGCTGCTACTGCCGCCACCTGTCCCGGTCAACCCGTTGACTGACATGGAGTTGTTCACTGGGTCGCCGATATCCAGGCTGAGGATGTCTGTGGCTCGAGCAGCGGGAACACGAGGGACGTTGAAGAAGCCGAAGACGTCTAGGTATTCGAGCTCGTTGGGGGCTGGGTTTCTGACTGCCGCTGGTGATGCGGAGGGCTGGCTGCCAGCTGGAGAGGTGCGGGGTTGGCGGGAGATGAGGAAATCGAGGTCGAATGCGCAGCGGCGCATGTCTGCAAGGATCTTTACGGTGGATGGAGTGGCTCGTTCCGAATCGGAGACTCCGGATTGTTGGTATTCGCCGTATTCGTCGAGGACGCGCTGCAGGATTGAGCTGTATCGCTCTGCTACTTTCCAGTGCTTGCCCATCTGGGCTAGGGTGTCGACGAAGAAGAGGATGTCGGGGCTGACGGTGTGGGCTATTGTGGACCCGTGGACGAGGAGGAGCCGGGCGGATACCCAGAGAGTGAAGGCGAAGGGGGGGCCTAGTTTGTCGAGCATGTTGTTGTCGACGACGAAGCGGGTCACGGAGAGGATGTTGTCCACTGCAAGCAGGCATCGCTGGCTCGCGCTGTATGAGGGGGTGAAGATTGGTGATCGCGTGGTGGGGTATGCTGCTGATGAATGGAGCCGGATAACCGCACTATGTGGGATGAATGTTAGACTCGAGTAGCTCTTGATGCGATTGCATGTGATCGAGGTGGTAAGAATATCTCACGTTTGGTAAGTGGCATGGAGCTGAACCCAGTCACAATGGATCCCCTTGGTAAACTTGGATCCATTGAACAATCGGGAGGAGTTCTCGTAGGCATATTCGGCTGGGAGGCCGAATTCCCAGGACGTTAACTCGCTGTCTAGCTTGCGGTATGTGGTCTGCCACTCCTCGACATCCGACAAAGCTCCTATATCGACAGGTCGCTTCAAGAAAGCATGGATCCGAGAGAGGATGCCTAATACTTCGACATAGAGTCCAAAGCTGCCGACGTTTTCGGCACGAGTCACGTAGTCAGCACGATCACTTGAGCGTTGGAACCATCTTGTCTCCACAGGCTGGTTCTTGATAAAATATTCGTCTTTGCATGGTAGTTTCCGGTCAATGTCCTTATCATCTAGGGCGAAATCAAAGGCGGTTGCAATGGTAGAATATCGGTCCAAGAAATACACCATCCAGAAGAGCCTCCGCCTGCTCTCGTCTTCGATCCAGGATTCGGGTTCCGGGAGGGTTACCGCCCTCAGGGTATAGATGGATGGATAACTGGGAGCAATGAGTGAAGATTTAGACTCGACGGCTAGTCCGAGCTGCACTACTGATCGTGTAATCAGCGCAAGCAATTTCCATCCAGGAGGACCGTTGGAGGACCCCACTAGATCCAGGGCCAGGATTACCAAAGCTTGGAGAGCTTTGACTGATGAATTCTCTAACCCATAGAGCAGGACTTTCTGTTTGGAGGAGTCATGGTATCGTTTGCGGTTTTGTTCGTTAAGCCGACTGTCGCTTGAGAAACGAAGAGTGGTTGCAACTATAGCATAGAGCACTGTTCGGTCCGCATCTTCGAGAGGAGATGGACCGAAGAATGTGTCGAGAGTTGTACGACGATGGAGAATGGGACACCAAGTATTGATATGTTCAAAGTAGAGGTCCACCAGCGCATACAGGAGATCGTACGGGGGTAGATCGAGCTCTGGGTCTGCAAGTAAATGCTCCTGGTTGGCGTACAGGTTGACTGGAACCTTTAGCGATGATTCGTTTCCCATATAATCGTTGGCTTGTGACGCGTTGTTCGTCGACCGTGGTACCGAAACGGGCGCAGACATAGCACTCGCCAGGTGATTTTGTATGGTATTTTTGACCGATATGTCCGAAGGACTGGTGATGGATGGTTCAGAGTGACGCGGTTGGGGCACGATAGATGGCGGATCATGGAAATAAAATGCGTTATTGGGACTGGGGCCCTGAGCTGTCTCTGATGGAGAACTGTATGAGAAGGGTCCTTGGTGGGAGATATCATGGCTCCTAGTCGGCTGGCCCTGAATAATATGCGTCTCGATCAGGCGAGCCTGCGTCTGAATAACCTGTTCTAACCGATCTGCATGCCTAGTGAGTGAAAGCTTCAGATGGACCTGCCAGAGACTAGCGACGCACCTAGCCTTTGTTCCAACTCCTTCCCATAACCTGCCCGTAGTCCGGGCTTTTTCCGCTCTTTGTATTCGCATAATTGGCCATTGCGAGAGCACCACCCACAGCTAGGCTGCGCCCGATCTGTGCATGTTAGCTTGTACCCATATGGAGCAAGGATTAAAGATGAGGGGAAGCCACCGCATGGGCAGGGCGTACCTACCGCACTTGACTTTTCTTTGCTTACATAGCTCGCATCTTAGTCGGTTAGTGAGATGTCCGATGAATGGCACCAGCCCACAGCTCTCGCGGAATATATATTCCAAGGATTGGAGTGTGATAAAAGGGGATCTGTGCTTTCAATGGTCCAAAGCAGGATGGGACGGTACGTACGACACTGTGAGGGGTCGTTTACGTTTCAGCGCACGAGGGACGCTCGACCCGTTCTGCACAACACGATCATTCTCGCTATCGGCAGCGGACCAAGATTCATCCCCGCTGTGATCCCGATCCAGATCGCCAGTAAGTCGGGATGGTGGTGGAGTCTGTCGAACAGAGACAGCTGCAGCAGCGTTCGGCATGGTACTTTAGCGAGTCCGGGGTTTGTCGGGAGATAGACAGGTCCAGCCACAGCAGTTCGATCAGCAGCAACGAAGCATCCTGGTAGGAGGGGCGGAAATCGGTGATATTAGACCGAGTCGACTGCTAGCTTCAAGGATTGTGCGAAGCGAGCGAAAGCGACACAGAAGCAAAGGAGAAGAATAGGAAGGAATGAAAGAGACGAAGAGAGCGTTCGGGCTGGCATTGCCTGAGCCAAGAAAAGGCACGCGGACCCCCGCAAATGGACCTCCACATCTATTCTGCCGTTTGTGAAGAACTCTCTGGTCTGGGGAAACACTTTGCCCTGGGAATGACCTGAATTGTGGCGCCCCTTAGGGTCCGTTCACCCGCCCATCGTTTTCCCACCAAGACTTTCCCTTCATCCCTGTGATTTTTGTTGGCGGCGCAGGTTGGAGACCTTCTCGGGGTAGCATTGCCCCGAGGCATCACCAGCCGAGGGGAAAGTGTGCCGGATGCCCCTCGAGGCGGAGTTGCTCGTATGCTTTCAAATATGCTCCGATTTCCCTGAAAAGAAAGTTTATCGCTTTCTCTTTTCTTCTTCTTCTTTTGCTTCTCATCCTCTAAACTTTGTGATATTCTCCATACCCTACCTGCTAAAGTACTGCCAACATGGGCTCTACCGGCCAATTTCCCCGCATCAAAGAGATCCGCACCTTCATCATTGATGGTGTGGGATCCGGAGGTGATTACCACAATGTATGCTCAGCAGTGCCTGAATAACCATTAGCAGACCGCTAATCTTCTTCAAATCAACAGGTCAAAGGAGGTCACTGGTTGATTGACAGCAACATCTCCACCCCTATGACTCGCTGGGCACAATACCGCGGCTCTCGCACATCATGGGGTATCAACGTCCTGGGCTCTTTCTGCGTCGAGATCGAAGCTACCGATGGGACCAAGGGATTTGCCACGGGATTCGGCGGTCCTCCGGCTTGCTGGCTGGTTCACCAACATTTTGAGCGCTTCTTGCTCGGTGCAGGTACGAGCTATCGATTTAGTCTCCTAAATATGAGCCAGGCTAATCTGTTTCCTCCTCTAGACCCCAGAGATACCAATGACCTGTTCGAGAAGATGTACCGGGGATCGATGTTCTATGGCAGAAAAGGTCTCCCTGTTGCCGTCATCTCGGTGATTGACTTGGCTATCTGGGATCTTCTGGGCAAGATTCGCAACGAACCCGTCTACAAGCTCATTGGTGGCGCTACTCGTTCGCGTCTGGACTTCTACTGCACTGGACCTCAGCCCGCTTCGGCCAAGGCCATGGGTTTCTCTGGAGCCAAGGTCGCTCTTCCCCATGGCCCTGACGAGGGTACAGAAGGACTGTTGAAGAACGTCGAGTACCTCCGCAAGCAGCGGGAATCAGTCGGTCCCAACTTCCCTCTGCGTGTCGACTGCTACATGTCCCTGAACGTTCCCTACACAATTGAGCTTGTCAAGCGTTGTGAGGCGGAAGGAATCAACATTGACTGGTGGGAGGAATGCTTGACTCCGGATGACTTTGACGGTCATGCACTTCTGAAGAGAGCCCACCCCACTGTCAAGTTCACCACCGGTGAGCACGAGTACTCTCGGTATGGTTTCCGGAAGCTCGTTGAGGGCCGCAACTTGGACATTCTGCAGCCCGACGTGATGTGGGTTGGTGGTATGACGGAGTTGCTCAAGGTCTCCGCCCTTGCCAGTGCCTACGACCTCCCAGTTGTTCCTCACGCATCTGGACCTTACTCCTACCACTTTGTGGTTTCGCAACCCAACTCACCCTTCCAAGAATACCTCGCCAACTCTGCAGATGGACACACTGTTGAGCCCGTCTTCGGAAACCTCTTCCTCAACGAACCCATCCCTACCAAGGGACACCTGGATGTTTCGATCCTGGACAAGCCGGGCTTCGGCCTCGAGCTGAACCCTGCTGCACCTCTTATCCCAGCAGCCTCCATTCTCACTCCTGCGCCTCAGAAGGCTCTGGCTGCCCCAGCTGAGAGCCAGCAGGAATCTAACGGCACTGCTTAAGCAGGGTTTTTACGACATCTCTAGATTACGGCTTCTACAAGATGCTTGATGGCATATTTTCAACCTGTGACGAGATTAGCATTTCCTATACATGTATACATGATTTACCTTTGTTTCAATTTTTTTTTCAGAACAATAGATAGGGGCAATGGAACAATCCTCAACAAGACTTGCGAGCAACCCCCCAATGTGGGGTAAATGCCGAATGTGGGGGTGGTCTCGGGGTAACAATGCCACGAGAGGCCCGAGACCGACTCCACTAATTTGAACGTAGATTTACTTCTTTGGTTATCTGGATCTCCCCGGCGGGGTTGACCAGAAATACCAGCACAAGACGAGCACTCAATCCAGGACTATAAGCTCGCATTATCCCTCTGTTCATTTCAATTCCCTTCAAAGAAACCCCAATCGACCATCACCAGAAGCAACCACCACCACAATGCCCCTCCCCCAAATCCTAGTCGGCAAAGTCGCCGCCATCACAGGTGGTTTAACCGGTATTGGCAGGGTAAGGCACAGTAACAAAAAAGAAAACTCACGTTTGTTCCAAGGCCAGTCTAACATGATTTTCTTTCTAGGCCATCGCCCTCGAATACCTCCGCCACGGCGCCAAAGTAGCCGTAAACCACCTCGGCGGACCCAAAGAAGAGCCCCTCATCGAAGCAATGCGCAAAGACGTATCTGAAATTATCCGATCCGACAGCAACAGCGACAGCGAGCAGAGCAGCAGATTCATCCTGGTCGCAGGGGACGTAACACAGCCCGAGACAGGGCGGGATTTCGTATCCAAAGCCGTGGAGGCCTTTGGCCGACTCGACGTGTTTGTGAGTAATGCGGGAGTGTGCAAGTTTGAGGAATTTCTCGAGTACGTTGGACCCCATTCAGAAGTACAACCCTAAAGAGCCATTCTTGTTGACCCATGTCATCCAACGGTATAGAGTCGACCCCCCACTCCTCGGCCACACAATCAACACCAACCTAAGCGGCGCATTCTGGGCAACACAAGCAGCAGCACGACAAATGGCACTGGCTCAATCGCCACCCGGGGGTTCCATTATCGGGATTAGTTCTATCTCTGCGCTTGTTGGGGGTGGACAGCAGACGCATTATACGCCTACGAAGGCGGGCGTGCTTAGTCTTATGCAGTCGTGTGCGGTTGCGTTGGGCAAGTATGGCATCAGATGTAATGCGCTGTTGCCGGGGACGATCCGGACTCAGTTGAATGATGAGGATATGAGTGATCCCGTGAAGAGGTCGTATATGGAGGGGAGGATTCCGTTGGGAAGGCTGGGCCAGCCGCCGGATTTGGCGGGGCCGGCGGTGTTTTTGGCGAGTGAGGAGTTGAGTGGTTATGTGGTGAGTTTTGCCCCTCTGTTCGATGTTTTGTTTTATGTTTGGGGAGTGTGTGCTAATGTGGGTGAATAGACCGGAGCGCAGATACTGGTGGATGGGGGGGCTTTTGTGAATCTTCAGTAGATAATGATATGATTTGATGATGTTATCTTTATTGTGGATATACTTGCTCATGGGGATCGATGTACATACATTTATGCATGCATACATGCTTTCAATATATGATCTGAATACGTATTATTTTAGAGTTCAATCCCATATGCCTTGAGGGCAACACCACCCCATACACCCTCCTTTTGCTCCTGTGACAAGCCCCTCTTCTCCAGAATACCCTCTACCACACTCCTCCACCGTCTCCAGGCGACTGCACTACCGCCTCCACCCACATTACACACAGGCCAGTCAGACCCAAACATGACTCTTTCCGGTCCAAACGCATCAAAGACCACATCCGTCCACAGCTGGACCTGGTCGACTAGAGAAGCAATATCCGGCTCCGAATCAGCCGTGAGCGGGGGAAGCTCCGAGAATCCCCCGGAAAGCTTCATATACGCCGTCGGATGCTGCGCCATGGCAGTGATGAGGGAGCTCCATTCCAGGAAATCAGGATGCGTAGCGATCGAGTCGGGCGAGGTGTACGGCAGACGCAGGTTCGGCTTGCACAGGTGGTCTGTAGATAGCTTGTTAGCCCAGTTCAAAATGCCAATCATGAACCCTATCCTTAAGGAATAAGGAATAAACATACTAATAACAATCCTAGCCCTATCCTTCTTCTCCCCCACCCCCCGATAAACCGTATTCATCATCTCTGCCGCCTCCCTCAACTGCCACATCCCACCCTGACGCGCATCCACACCCAGATCAAACGCCAACTGCTGCCTTCCTAGCCACCTCAACCCCTCAATAAACTCAGGCTTTAGCATGACTCCGCTCGGCTTATCCTGAACGAGGTATCGCACTCCGCAGACCTTCTTGAATACTTCCTCCGTGCGAGTCCGCTCCCTCACGAGGGAAATGAACTTCTCCAGCGCAGCAGGGCCCCCAGGTACAGGCGCCCAGGGCACCATACCCAGACACAAATGGCGATCTACATCTTTGTGTCCTTCCCCTGGGATAGGCTCTCCGGTGAGGATCCGGGTGAGGAAGGAGACTTCGTCGAGGGCGTGGGACCAGCCACGGGTTGGGTCTGATTCTTCAATTGAGGAGATGCGGTCGGTCTCGAGGAAGATGAAGCCGCGGAGGTAGTGTGAGTTTGTTTTTGTTGGTGTTGTTGTTGTTTCTTCCGGGGATGTGGGAGTGGAGGTGGTTGCGAGGCGGTATTCGTCGACTGAGTGCTGGGATCCTAGTGGGCTGGAGGGGGTATACCAGGCCAGCGTGGGGAGATGGGATGCTGGGAAGAGGTGGATGTGGGAGTCGATGATTGGGGTTGGCATTGTGTTGGATGTAGTACTTTTTGTCTTTTCTTTTCTTTGTATTCGTGTTCGTGTTGATGTGCTTGTGAGGGGTTGAGATGGTGATCTTCCCGGGAATGCGGGGTTGAGTGCTGCTTGGGATAATTGAAGAGAGGGAAGATAGTGAGGACTACAGGATTGAAGAAGAGTCTTGTTGATTAGGTTACAAATTGAGCAGAGCAGTTATTGAAAGAGGGGAACTAAAACAAATGTGCAGCTCTGCTGGCCATCATGCAATTCCAGTCAGCAGACGAGGGGATGATGATCGGGGATGCATTAGCCCGAGCGCAGGCAGTCCAGACTCCATCGCGACCAACCGATCTGCCTTCTCCTCTCTAGTACTTCTCTACCTCACTGGCCAGACCCTTGGCAAATGGTGAGGACCTTCGGCAGCTCCAGCAGCAGATTTATATACCGAAGGAACAGCTCTGGGTGTGTCCGACCTTCTGCTGGATAGTTTTGTGTTCTGTTCAGATCCACGACTGAACCACAAATTGGGGCGGACCGTCACTCCTCGCCAATCACACTCCGCAACAAACACGATCTGACTTCAAATGCGGGGTTCTTTCAACTGATGCCTAGGTACTAGATCAGTGGCGGGGGTGATATCCGGGATTCCGTTGAATTGGCTTCTCACTATTACTGGCACTTGGCAGATCATGTTCTTTGGATGCAAAAGGAAAAGAGGGGTTCGGTGGATGACGATGTGACTCGCCTTCAGCTTGTGCCTCGGTTACGGCTACTTGCGACCTTCATTGCTTCTTTGAAGCAACTATCGACACCATAATGTGAACTGCATTTCTTGGCCCGTCTCAGCGATGATCCATCAGGATGATCCCAGTTCATTTAGCGCGTCGACTGGGTCCCCCAGTGATAAAGAGATGCTGCGCCCTTGATCTGCAGCGTTTGAGTCTCGCTCCTCGCACCCTTCATCGTCCCCCCTTCCTCTCCGTACAACATCGAAGATACCAGTATACTACGAGGATGACTATGTCTGTGGGTGATAGCAATGGCAGTACAGCTGTGCCGGAGATCCCTGCAAAGCAGAAGGCTGCCATTTATGACCAGCCCGGCACTGTCTCTACCAAAGTCGTAGAGATAGATGTGCCCGAGCCTGGTGTGGGTGAGGTCTTGATCAATCTGTATGTGTTACCTTTAGCCCCAATTGGCTGGACGGACACGGCTTATCCAGTCGAGTGCATTCATCGGACTAATGGCTATTGTAGCACCCATTCAGGCGTCTGCCATTCCGACCTTGGAGTAATGACCAACACCGTAAGTATACAGACGTACCTCTAGCTCAACCACCTCCTAACTCGTCCAGTGGAGTTCTCTACCCTACCCCACACAGCCCGGTCAAGTCGGTGGCCACGAAGGTGTCGGTAAGATCGTCAAGCTAGGCCCTGGAGCCGAGTCTTCAGGCCTGAAGGTCGGCGATAGGGTAGGCATCAAATGGGTTTCCAGCGTCTGCAAGAGCTGCGGTGCGTATACAGTTCTCTTGGCCAGATAGTCCATACTGACAGTCAACGATCAGAACCATGCCATGCAGGCGCCGACGGCATCTGCTTCAACCAAAAGGTATCCGGATATTACACCCCCGGCACATTCCAGCAATACGCCCTAGGCCCCGCCAACTACGTGACGCCGATCCCCGACGGCCTCGCATCCGACGAAGCCGCGCCGATGCTCTGCGCTGGTGTGACCGTCTACGCAGCCCTGAAGCGCAGCAACGCCCGACCAGGCCAATGGGTGGTGATCTCCGGCGCTGGCGGCGGCCTCGGCCATATAGCCGTGCAACTAGCCAGCAAAGGCATGGGACTGCGCGTGATCGGAATCGACCACGGCAGCAAAGAAGAACTGGTGAAGGCCTCCGGAGCTGAACACTTCGTCGACATCACCAAGTTCCCCTCCGACGACAAAGGCCAAGCCATCGCCGCGCACGTCAAATCCCTCGCCGGGGGTCTAGGCGCTCACGCCGTCATCGTCTGCACCGCAGCCAACGCAGCCTATGCCCAGGCCGTACCATTCCTGCGCTTCAACGGCACCCTCGTGTGCGTGGGAATCCCCGAGAACGCCCCGCAACCGATTGCGACCGCGTTTCCTGGCAAGATGATCGCGCAGCATTATACGATTACCGGATCGGCGGTGGGGACGCAGCGAGATGCGATCGAGACGCTGGATTTCGCGGCGCGAGGGATCATCAAGGCCCATTTCCGGACGGAGAAGATGGATGCTTTGACGGGCGTGTTCGAGGAGATGAGTCAGGGGAAGTTGCAGGGTAGGGTTGTTCTCGATTTGTCTTGACGTGACGTGATGTCTGTCGCTGCTTTGTGTTGGTCTATTTTAGGAGTTAACTGGTCGGTCAATGAATGGAAGTTTAATCAAATATATTTTCAACGAAACATGATGACGAACGATGCTGCACATAAAGAAAACGATGAAAGACCTCTGTAGTCAAAACTACAAATATAGTAAAAACCGAGAACAAAGAAGCCATCATTCCGACAGCGTTGCAATTGAACCAACAACCCACTTCATTCAACCTTGCAAAAGAATAAATAACTGAACACGAAACAGTACCCAAAAGAGAACAACAAGAACAAACACAAAGAAAGTGTGAGAGAGGCAAAAGAAAAAAGAAGCAAAAAAGAATGACCGACGCAGGACTCGAACCTGCAATCTCTTGATCCGTAGTCAAGCGCCTTACCATTGGGCCAGCCGGCCAATTGATGAATTAACCGGGGGATCTTTGCCTACATAAGCCAGTCCTAAAGTCAAGCCTACCGGACACACAATTGACGCGGGGTGTGGTGGTGGTGGTGGCGGGTCGAGCGAATTTCCTAGCGATTCCTTTGCTTAAAGCCGCTTATTCCCGGGGGGAAGTTCTGCCGGTCTGTCTGTCTGTCTGTCTGTCTGTTGGGCGGTGTGGTTGGGATTTTGCTGTGGTAGTAAGTGGCATGGTATTCTTTAGGTGGCATTGGAATGGTTTTATTTTTCTTTGTGCACTAATTGCGGGGAATTGGGTTGGTTACTCGTCTTGCTTGTGATGAATGATGGAGGGGTTGGTTGGGGGTGTTACGGAGGATCTGCAGGGTAGTATTTCTTGAAGTTTATCTAGTCTAGTAACTCCATAGTAGGGATTAGTGCTGGATGGAGATGGTGGCATCTGTGTACTGCGAAGGGGTAAAGTATCCGGAATGAAGGAAGAGGATTGATTAGTGGAAAAGGACGGGAAAAGTCATTCAGTATAGCTAGAAATGTATGAGCTCATTCGTAGGAATTACAGTGACTCCGAAGGAAGGGATCAATTACTCGAACAGTTCCCTCAATGCTGCATTTCGATGGTAGATAACTTCATAACTACGTACTGCTGCGCAATTCCTGTCCAACGACTCTTCCTGCTCAGTCCCGAGTCCACGGGCCTGCGTACCGAGCTGCTGGGAAGGAGGGTCTCACTCATACATGGGTATGTAGTAGGACATGTGAAACTTTCTCCGGGAGAAGCTTATTGGTCTAGCTACCAGACGTATAAGATTGAGCGAGGTCGATAGACGTCATAAGCAGATTCTGAAAGGGTCGCTTTGCGTCGGGGAAACCGACCCAGCGATTCAATGATACCAGAGAAAGTGTATATTTGGAATGGGTAGTTGGGTGCGAGGCTGTTGTCCCTTA